AAAAAAAGGCTCATGGCGAATGCCCCCCATTTTGGTTGCCCCCCCCCCCCCCAAACAATACGGTTAGTCACAAAAGTACAAAGAATTCGCAAACAATTTCAGCTCTTAAAAGGACTCTGACCATTTCCTCCTTCAAATTATCCACTTTTTCATTTCAAAGGAAACCAAAGTCAGACTTTACATTAAGCTGCATCACTGTGTTGATGGCACACCTGTAAACAGTGTAAAGACCCCTCAGGACGAGACGATGCTCAGCTGCATCTGCTGCCTGCTTGGAGAGAAGTTTACATGATAAAGACAGAGAGAGGATTAGTGAAGCAGGTTGTCGCCTCTGAAACAAACACACCGCATATCAAACAAGACAAACCAACTATTTGAGTAAACTGTTTGAACAGCAAACGTCTAAAGCTAATACACTTCTGCTGATTGCACTGATAAACTGATTGAGTTCAGGAACCCATGAATATAGAGTAAGAATTCACAGCTTATGCTGTGCAAAACAGTTTCAGTGGCCCTAACTATACTTTGAACTGGAAGTATATTTTCCTGTTTGCATGCTGCACCTTCTCTGACTGACAGATTTGTTTGTGCCATTGTCTACACTACATTTGCCTATTATCTATACTTCTGTTATAAATTTAAAATGTCCACTATTAAGTATCACTTTCTACTGGATTGAAAAATAAGCACATTAAATGCTTGCCCTTCCTCTAGCTTTCTCTTTCTGCATTTGACAAACAATCTATTTGACACACAAACACATATGATGATGTGCTTTAGTGGTAAAACCAGTGAGTCAGAAGTGTGAATGTGTGGAGTCTAGAAAAGTTTCAGTTGACGTTTTTATATAAGCTTCTATTTGTCCCAGCAGTGCAGGGGCTCACACATTCACTGACACATTTGGGCATTTAAAAAAATGTTAACCACAACCAACTGAGTGAGAATCTGCACAGATATGTTAAAAAAATGTTGCATTCACCCTCCATCAAAGGTCTCCTAAAGTCCCCCTCCCCTCCCTCCCCTCAAAATGATATATTTAGCATATAGCTACTTCACTTGTATTTTTGAACTTAAGTGAGCAGAATGATGTGCGCTCAGTGTTTGCCACTAGAAGACTCTTTTCTTATTCATTTTCATAAGGAATTTCACTGTGCTCACATTAAGTCACATTTTAACATGTGTGCATGCAAGTTTGACTTTGTGACAAGTTTGGAGCCAATCACAACCAAATATTCAGCTGTAGATACTTGAAACCTGCAGTGCACATAAACATTTAAAAAATATGTAATAAGATAATTGAACTTTTTTGTGGAAAAACATAGACAAATGATTATTCAAACCAAAACATTTTGCTTTGAGATAGAATTTCTATCTTAAATCAGCTTATCTCAGTAATAAAACCTTGTCTAATTTAAAAAGAAAACACGTTGATACATCAGACAATACTAGCTGCTACAGTATGTGTGCCTTGGGCAGCCTTTCTGAGTGAACTCACTCATGGCTTTGTCATGCTCAATGAGCAGCTTCCCCTAGCTGTGCCTGCTTTTTGACACATCTAAAGGGCTGTTTCTGACATCTTGCCATCCTGTCGTCCACCTGTCCCACAGTGCTCAGGCCAGGCAGGAGGAAAAAGCTGGTGACCTGGCCTTCGACTCCCTGCCCTAGGCCACAGCCACCCTGCTGGCAGCAGAAGGTCTGTTGGTCCGAAGCCATGCCAGGAATTCTGCCTGCCACAGCTTGTGATGTCACGACAGACACGCCAGAGGAGAGTTCTGATTGGTTTGCTTTTGTCGCTTCCTGGGAAATGCCTTCTCAACAACTTACAGGCACACAAACATAATTAATTATCACTTTAATTGAATGTGATCTCAGCTTTCTGCCCTCTTAGCTGATCAGCTGCCTTCACAGATACATTCACAGATACTTACAGGAAGCCAATATGTTCTCCCCTTATGTCACATAATTTGCATAGGAAGAGGATTATGGGCATTTTGTTAAAAGAAATACAGCTAGTACAAGTCATCTTTTACTTCCTTTTGCTAATTAGTTACCAGTGCATAAAGACCAGACTCAGTGAAAGTTTGTACTGCAGGATTTCAGTGGCAGGAGGCCTCTTGTGACCCTCTTGCTTATCCCCCCCATGCTTACATTTATGGTTTGGTCCTACATCCTGTTAAGAGTAGCAGCAGGAGTGGACCATCACATTTGGTGCTCAGCGTGGGGGCAGTTGGTGAGCTGTCATGTTCCAGCTATCCCATGGAGATACACTTCTGCCTCTCTGCAAAGATTTTGTGTTTTCTCATTTGCATTTGCTAATGAGATCCTGTTTACATGACTTTATAGTGAAAGGCTATCTCCCTAAGCATCTCTTTACAATTACAGGCAGATAAAGTCCTATTTGTCTAACCTTTATTATCCAATTAGCCCCATTAAGATTAAAGATGTTTTTGGAGAAGAGACCTGGCCAGTAAAGCAGCAATATAACACTGTATAGCAACTGCTTCACAGTGGAGAGGTTTATGCATTCAAGTAACTCTAACCTTGGTCAGTATTGGAAATTTGTCCAAGTCAAAAATAAAATACTTCTTATGTCTTGTCTTTACTGTGTTTCTACTTGCTTTAAGGGAGTGTACCATGCCGCTGATGATCAAGTGTCTAAACCAGCCCTCACCAGTTCTCCCTGATCACAACTTCACACAAAGAATTCATCCTCCCAGAAGCTTTCCACAGCCAAGACCCATGACTCCCAAATTCACTCATCTTACAGCATGTTCTAGAAGTCACAGGCCAATGCCAAATAATGCCCATTTAGAACACATCCTCATTATCACCCAATCTGTACTGTTACAAACTCCTGCCCATCAATCTGCTAGTGTCAGCATCTCCCCACCAAAACTGACACGATTCAATCTCAGGTCACTGCACACACATACAGTACATATATATATAGTGATAAGTTTAAAGCCACACAGCAAGTCAGATATTATAGTACACACACCCTTAGAAAGTTCTTGAACATGTGCTAGTGTAAAACTCCAAAAACAAGTCCAGACTGTTATGCTCTTTCTGCTTCATTTGCAGTGTTTAGGATGACCAACATTCAACCAGACACACAAAGTGGCAAATATCTTCCCGAGCCACCCCTAATGACCTCGAGGCTGCTGATTTGCCTAAAGCCCTTTGCAGACATGGGATACATGACACTGCTGGATTCATCAATCTGTTGAAACGATGGCTTTCTGTCAATCAGACATAAGTCACTTTTAAGTTATTGTTCCTCACGGCTTCATTCAAACATAACCACAGCTGTGATGGAGAAATCCAAGTGATATCTTTGTAATCTTGTGCGTGCCTGTGCATTATTGCAACTGCCTGCAGTTCAGACTTTTACTATGTTGAAATATATAAATGTTGCTAGGTCCAATCTAGTAAAATCTGTAAAGGCAGAGAAGTGGCCAGGGTGCTCATTCACCCATGAAGCAGACATGTTCAGACATTTTCAGATTGGATGGAATGGAATAGAAAGGAGTGCATGTTTCAAAGGGACTTACAGTATGGAAGAGTGCCTTTTGGGGAAAACTGACAACAGGGTCCAACTGAGCATCTTGTTAAGAGAATAGAGTATATAGAAGGCCAACTCTTCCCCCTCTATTATATTTAATGAGAATACATACTAACGCTTTATTTCAAGAGAGAAAGTCCAAGTATCTTGATCATGGCAATGTATCAGTTCTCTCACTACACATAATTGTTTTTTTATATATATATCTTGATCCAGCAGTAACAGCAGTATAATAACTCAGCAAGAACAAAAATAAATCTATTGTTAAGAAGAGTGTCCCTTTCTCCAGTGGGGTGGAAAGAATATTGTCTGAATTAGGTCCCCTCTCCGAGCAGACAGGCAGGACCCTGAACATGTTTTTCTCATATTGGGAATCTGCTGACTGTGGTATCATATTATGATTAACAATTTAACTACGATACCCTTCTTTCCCCATTGTGATTCCACAGATGACT